CAGCAGCAAAGTCTTAAGTCATTATATTGTAAATAAACATTATAAACATTACCGTGATGTAAAGTTCCCCTCCCTTTCCATCAGTACACCACTTCTCTGAACCTGAGCTGGGCTACTCAGTCCCAGCTACTACAGAGACAGTAGAACTCAAAACCTGGTTAAAAACACAAGAACTAAAAGAAGACAAAATTCCTCAACCTTCATAACACCTAAAACCCACCTGGGCCTTTCCCAAATGCTTCAGACTCACAGTGAGATGGTACAGATAATACTTCAGGGGCTACTTTCAACATTTGCTGTTAAACATCTTTTGATGCTCCAGATACATAAATACATCTTCTTAAGGGTTAATGTACCAAAACAGGAAGGGGGAAAGAGGGGGGGAGGGGAAGCACAAAAGCTGTATAACTTCTTTCCGTGGTATGACAAATTCTCTCTGCATCATATTCCAAAGTGTGAAATGTGCAATTTCCATTCTTAAGCTCAGTAAAAATGGCATAAAAAAAGTACTAACCCTGGTTGATTATTAGTTTATCAGATCAACATCAGCAAAACTGTCTTTTAATGTGCTGCTTACTTTCAAAAAACCTCCACCATGCATATTTCAGTTCTCCCTCTCCACACCCCACACCCTTCTGTTGCTGTCCAGCTGGAACACATCAAGGGTCTAGAAGCCAAGTCAAATGTTGACCCCACCCTCCTCCATCCATTTTCAGGCACCTTCAAAGCCAGTACACTGATCTAGTTCAGCTTAGCCAACAACGCCAGCAAATCTGTTATTTAAGACTTTAGTGCTCGCTTTTTATAACTGCCCATTAATACAAGCTTTGATGTATGGTCAAAAAATCCAGCTGTAATGAGTTTCATCAGACTGTAGTAACCTTTCCTCAGAAGGTCTTTATTACTATACCTTCATAATATTTGGTCCCAATACTGTTTTATAGTATCATTCTTACTGAACTGCCTTAAAAAACAACACTCAGCGACATTTAATGCATCTTGTTCCCCAAAATTAAAGCAAAGAGCCATTAATAGTTTTGTAGAAGACACTTTTGCACCCACATTTTTAATAGGAGTTTGCTGTTACCAGCATCAGGCAATAGTTGCGTGAACCAGAAGATAAACAAATTTTTCTGACAAAAGACTCAAGAGAAGATACAAAAGGATTTTGTAAAAGGACAAACAACTTACTTTGCTGTTCCCCTTTGCAGGATGCAGCAAGGAGGAAAGAGGGGGGAAAAGAAATGTTAGATACATTAATTTTACATGCATTCAGTCTAACTTGTACAATTCTGGAAATAGCTCAAACCAAATGAGGAACTGACTCAATGAACATTCCCTGAAATCTTTAGTTAGACAGCTTAGACAGCTTCCAGCGGAGCACAGGACATTTGCAAAGGATCGAAAACATTTGGTGAAGTTGTAAATTCACACTTTTTTTCCAAAATTTCCTCTCTACACAAACACTCTGATTCTACTTTTGCTTCCATTAGTGTAAAACAGGAGCAGATCCTGGGAAGTTGGTGGACACTAACACAAGGGAGAAGAAAACGAGGCCTGAAATGATCTAGGGGTGGGATGAAAGCCAGAGGGATTTTTGTGCACTGGTAATACTGAACTTCTAGTATGCAAAGCAAGCCACCAAACATGTCTGTTTAGCCTTGCATGACAGCCACTCCCTACAATGTACCAATGAATGGAAAGCTTATGATCCAATGCCTTTTAAAAACCAAATATTGAACTTCTAGATTAGTAATAAAAATAAGGAGGAGATGGCATTAGGGGACAGAGGAAAGGAATGGATGGTGCTAGCAAGGTACAGTGTGCAGATCAAGTTATGACAAACATCTGCGATTTTTTTCTGAATTGTGAGTTTTGCCACGAGCTGGCATGAACAGTGTATATTATACAGTGGGAAGCCAGCCAAAATAAACACCAGCCTACAGCTGAAAAATATAGTCTGGAAAGGTTAGTCACAAAGTTGTAGTCATTTTTTTTAAAAAGGAGGTTTTTTGGATGCATCAACCCAGCAACCCAGCAGTAAAGTCAGCTGGTAAATGGATATTCCATTTCAAAGTGAATTGGCCACAGTGTGATTCATATCAAGCAAGCTGACTTGCGTATGGGTTGAAAAAATAAAAACTCTGATTCACTGCTATCCCAGTGGCTGTCAAAGCCCACGTCCTGACAAAAGCAAATCTCCTGGGGGAAAGAGATGACTTGGCAAGCTGCAGAAGAATTCAGGGCTCACAGAGCAACACTGAGGAGTGATTAAAGATAGTTAACAAGAGAGTGAATATATAAACATGAGTGTGCGTCCCCATGTGCTCAAGACAGGCAAAATGAATTGAGGAAATAGAGAAATGGTTATTTGTTTAGGGAAAAATAAAAATTAAAGTGCAACAGCATTGGACTTAGCTTACAGGATTAAATCAGTAATAGCAACTTCACATTAGCGTCAGTTAATACTGAGCCCCATGTCCAGCGTAATCACACAATTCTAAGTAGCATTCAAACAAAAAAGAAAAACAGAAAAATTAATATTTTTAGTTGAGAGATTTGCGCCTGGTAAGAATTCAGAACAAATCTCTAATTCAGTGACAAAGTTCTACTTTCCTGCCACTGCAGAAGGAACCCAAGCTAGGGGCAACCGAGTTGGGTTTTACATCAGTGTCCTTGTATGTAAGCAGCAGAACTGTTAACGAAAGCACACAGCTTAGCTTTCAGATTCCAGGCTGCTCACACTGCTCTGGCAGTTACAGAAAGCAGGCCATTGCAGTACTCCAGGTTTACAGCACTATTAATCTATTTTTCATTTCTAAGCAGCAATTTTTCTACTTCTGGTGCCAAAGCCTTGGATACTCAAAGTTCCCAGCTGTGACATGCACATGAAAAGGAGTGAGGTCAGTCTGGGAAGGGGCTAGGGTACCTCTTTGCCTTTTTAACTCTGGGATCGCAAAGCTGTGGAGAAGCACTGAAGAAAATATAAGTTGCTGCCATTTCCTGGTGGTCTCTCTGACAAAAAAACATGGTCTCTAAGTCTTTGAAGCAGACTGAAAGACTGAGTGCATGTCTTTAAAACTATTTTATATTGTCAGAGGAAGGTGTGACACTGTGGAGTATGCACAGGACTTTAATGAAATGGTAATGGTTTTTATTTCGGTTTCACTGGAACTTCTAAGGTATCCTGGGCCTTGGAGCTTTCACTTTGTAAATCCAAAACTTTAACAGTAGACTTGCAGTGCACATTTGGACCTCTAGTCCTGCAAGAACAAAGTGCTTTGCAAGACTAGAGTAGGATCAGGCATCTTTCTTGAACAGCTTGACAGACTACTGGGTGAATGTCAAACTACAGAGGGTTTGAACAATAATATTCACTCTTTTTGTAATGTAAAGATAATTCCAGCTCAAAGAAGAACTGAATTTTGACTCCCGTCTACTTTTGTCTTTCAAGGAAGTCTCTCATCTTCTATCTAAGACTCCCTTGATAGACCATCTTTAAACAAAACCAAGAATTCTTCATAAACATATCTTGAATTCAAAATATTTTTAGGGGGAATGGAGAGACAGGAAGAGGAGTTTAGAATCCAACTAATCCATCTTGTTTAAAAATAAAATAAAAGATATATGAATATAAGCATGTCACAGAATGCACAGAGGCAGCAACAGGCTTTTTTGACATCATTATGACAACCTGAGCAAGGAAAATAAAACACAAAACAATACAGTATTTTGTCCCTAGTAATTAATTAGGTAACCTCTTGTAACTAATCCTTGTAAAATTACTTTTGATGTCTTAGGTAGGAAGTAATTTACTGACACAGGCAACATACTGGAGAGTCACCAAATTTTATATATTTTTTTAAGGTAACGTCTCAGATACCTGGTAGGCCTTCTGCTAAATTGTATTTGAACTATTCTTAAAAAAAATCAGCATTGTTATCATCATCAATGTTTATTCCTATAATAATTGGAGAATCCAGCAGTTGAAGAAGTCTCTGATTTATCTGTTAATGGTAACCTTGAAACTTGGTATGAAGAGACAAAGCTGATGGTTGTTTGCTAAATAGCAGCCGGAGAAGATACAGACAAAATTACACATGGAGGTATCACAAGAGAAATATGAGAAAGAGAAAGATGAAGACACACAAGACAGCACAAGACCCTGAACTCAAGGGACCTGGCCTTCCAATGGAAAACAAGCAGAGAGAAGAACAAATTTCATCCAAATCAAAGCGCCATTTCTAAAACCAGATTTTCCACTGAAGGAATCTAGTGGACCAGCAGACTTATTGCAGAAAGGTGCAGCATGCATTACAGAAGCTTTCAAAAGCTCAAATGGCAGGTATTTTTGCTAGTCAGCCTTGTTTCTGGATACATGTCCTCAATCACTCAGTTGATATTAAATATTAAAATAACTAAGTCCAAAAAATATGAAATGGTAGTTGGGCATATTCCATTTCCTGACTTTCTGTCTTTTATGTTAAATTAATAAAGGTTTTTATCCTGTACAATTTGCTCCACATGACAATTAGCTGAGTAAAACTGACCTTGGAAAGGTTTAGCATGCATTTCATACACAAAAAACATGCAGTAAATCAGTAAAATAAATATACATGATTGCCTGGAATGCTTCTGTCAGTTCTGTAATACAGAGCTTGAGGGAATAAACTCTTCAAAGCACATCTTTACCTTAGAAGACATTAACAGAAAGAACGAAGCTCCAGAAACCCCAAATTACTCAACTTTTACTAAACAGATCCAACAAAAAACATTTCTGATTTTGGAAGGTTTGGTGTGTTTGGGTGGTTTTTTTTTAATATTGAGGCTTGACTCACAAATTTATCTTAAAATATTTCAAAATTAGCACAGAAGAGTACAATGAAAAGGCTAGCATTTCTTGAGATATTCACAGATCCTGTGTTTTCCCAGATGATGTGATTGTTCTTTCTGACTCAAACAGAGCAGCTACTGGAAAGCTAGTGCGCTATTGAACTTACTGAGGATTTATCAGGATAGACACCGGCTCGTAGCAGAGATGCCTTCCAGCTATCCACCTCCTCTTGGGAGTCACAGGCTAGCTCAAGGAAACGGTAATCCTTGTAAACATTCCTAGAACAAAGAGCACCACATTGTAAAACTAGCATTTTAATACTCTGTATCATACACATAGCATTTTAAATTAAAAATCCTTTGGGGTCAGAAATGACTTAGTAATTGTTTTAGACAACAGAGTTTATGGGATAGGTACTTGTTTAATAATTACACGGAGTGCTTGAATGTATCTTAGCATGCTACAGCACAGCTCTGGAAATAATAATCATCTGAAAGCACCATAAAACTACTTCAAATCAATTTTCCAGCTTTTGCCAAAATGGAGCACTTCTAGGAAAACAACACTGTGGTGATGCAGAGGGCAAACACATAAGACACGTCATCAAAACTGCACGTATCACGACTGCTGCTGTAAGTAATAAATATCAAAATAATTAATAATGCGACTTTTCCCATGTTAAATACTTTCAGTGCATTATATACTTTTTTTTTTTTTTTTTAGGCATCAGTAAAAGGGGAAAGAAAACAATGATAATCAGGTATTTTAAACAAACTACACAACCCCTGATATCTGCCTTCATAGTAAAAAAAAACTGGGACACATTTGAATAACACCTCTTGTAGGTAATTCACATAATTAGATAAATATAGGGAATCACTTAATGGAAGAAAAAAGAAAGGAAGAAAAATACGTATGTAGGAAGGTGGTACTTGTAAACTCTCCAATAAACAGAACAGATTTTCCCCTTACGGTTTAGCCATTAGTTGTTGAATTCAAATTCTATGTACAGACCAGATTGTTGTAAATTTGTCAGCCAACAGTCTTTTTAGGAAAGGCCACAAGCTTAGCAGACAAAAGTTAGGAAACCACATTTTGCTAGATCTTAACATTTACACAGGAATCAATCTTCCATCACAACCAGACTGTTTTCATTCCTTAGCAAGCTATGTAGAAGGGGGAGTGGGAGTAGGGAGGGGGGGTTGATGGAGATTGCTTCACTTTCAAAGACAACAGTGACAAGGGGTCCTTTGGTTTCATTATGCAACCCCAGAGGTAACTCCTGCCACATATTTTGAGCGGGAAAAAATATGAATACACTATAGAACCAGGAAGTAAAGCTATTATTATCATTGCCTAGACAAATTTCTTTAGCATTCAGGGACTGGTGGGATTTCACTGTCACACTGCCAGAATACAACCGACTTGATGTAATTCCCACTCACAGAAGTGCATCTCCCTTACCAACAATGTCACCAGACATCTCCTAGCCTTGCTTTTTAGGGGTAGTCTGAAGCAGATAGAAAACAGGTAGAAAAATTGTAATTGAACAGTAAGCAGGCGTGCTGAGCATGAAGCAGTCATGACACCTAGTCATTAAATTATCAGCCATGAAACCACAGTATGGCAACAAGAGTATACCCACCTCTGAATAGAGGGAAATCAGGTGTTTTTAGCAGGCTTACAGATCACATTTAAAACTGAAAAGGATAAAGGACATACTCAGATTTCATTAAGTCAGTGACATAATTCTCACTCATTTCAGTGTCTACATCCGAGCAGCCAGGCACACATGTTCAGCACCAGGCCTGCACTACTCCTTGCAAGCATCTGAATCAGAGATGCCAACCATGGTGTGCATCCGTGCTGCTCAGGGCAGCACACCTATGCTTCCTTCCCAGAGAAACCAGCCTGCAAAGAGACAAAGAGGCACTAAAGGGTTGGGTCCCATAGTTCAGGCAAAGGCACCAACCGTATGAATGACTGAAAGCTGTATGGATTTTTTTACTTGATTGCAAATTTAAATTAGGACCTTTTTTTCCCTGAATCCAAATGTACTTATCCTGCCTTAAAGCAATCAATAGCGTGGATGACTTCTTCAGATGCTGTTATCTTAAACTGACAAAACCACACTTGAATTTTATTAAATTTGCAATATTGTAGAACTCTGAGTCAACATTTACTAAGCATATTTACAAAAACAACTTAATGAAAATAAAAAGGGAAGCAAAAATGAAAGTGCCAGAGGAAAAAAAACAACTTTAATTGATTCTCAGGAAAACTTCAAATGAGATAAGATTTTTAGCTATTTCAACTAAGCAGCTATAATTTTGAAGAAAGAGGAATCTGAAATGATAAAAGGGTACTCTCAGCAAAGATGACTAACCATAGAGCAAATAAAGGCTGCAAAACATAGTAACAGGGAAGTACCAAAAATCCGTACCTACAAGAGCAAAACAACATGACACCATCTTGTGAAAACACTTTTTCAGGACTGTCATATTATATATTAAACTTTTTGGTATTTTGTGACTTGGTACATTAAGCTTACTTGTACAAGAAGGGCTTTTTGCTAGCTGCTTTGAACACATAGGAGCTCATTGTCCTGCATTCCTGTCTCTGTATCAAGACCTTTCCTAGGTTATGGCTAAGCAGCTGACATCTCCAGCTTTCCAAGGCCCCCCCCTCCCTGTAGTATCTGAGAGCTCCACTATTTTAGTGTAGGAATCTTACCCCACCACCACAAATGATGTCAGTTTCAGCACAAGTGAGGAACTGAAGGACATATATACTGAACCTGGGCTTGCAGAAAGCTTACAGTAGGGTAGGTAAATGGATGCTTGCCTCACAAATCAGCTGCCTTGCTACTAGCCTCCGTTTGCCTTTCCTCCAGAAAGACTGACAGGCATAGGAACTTTACAAAGGAAAAAGCCAAAGTAACTTCTGAAAAAAGTGTGTCCTTTTTCTGTTACTAGTGGAATCTTACAAAAAGACATTAATGTGTTTTACTCATTAGGAATCCACTGGCGTCTCAAGGAAAGCTGTAAAAATGTTCTTGAAAACAATTCAGATTTTCTGGTTTGTTCTCTCTTCCACTTTTTAAAACTTCTGAAGATATCAGCACAAAACCAGTTACTACTCAATCCCCATCTACTTACTCCACATGGAATATAGTGAGATCATGTTCTCATTGTCATCTTTATGGCAGGGATATTATGCATCAAAGAGAATGATATAATGCAGGATACCCAGAAGCAGAAATATGAATACAAATCTTATTGATATTCAGGCATCTTTAACTCTTAAGGGACTGTAGTAACTAAACAGTTACAATAAATGGGAACATACCTAAAACACAATTTGCATGCAACATTTCTCTTGAATATTTAACTTTTCTGAAATGTGAACATATGAACAGGTAAGCTGTGTGCAAAGTTATATCCATATATCACATCCACCTATGCTGCTTCCTCCTGTAGGGTCTTGTAATTTAATATCCTGCATAGAACATGAAAATGTATCTATAGTGCCATTACTGGAAATTAACATAATAATACTTTTTTCCAGAGCAAAAAATGTGAAAGGTTACCATTTGTTACCTGCAGATTGTATTACACTCTAGATAAATAAACCTCAAGAACTGTATTTCATAAAAAAAACCCACAACATACTTGTTAATGAAGATGAACAGACAATTGGACTAAAAGCATAATTTCTAGTTCCAGACTTGCTCCACACTCAGGGCACACCTTCTCTATGCCAGGACCACTATTTGAAAGTCCAGCAGATACCCAGCTATAACTTTGTTTATCTTACAACCTCTTCACTTTACTATTGCCTTTGTTTCCAATGTACTGGATTCCTTTTCTCCATATATTTCAGGTCCTAAAGTGAACTTTCTAATCCAGAAATGAGCATTAAATGGCATTTCTTTAAGTCCTCCCATAATGGAAGAATCCTAACATGAAAATGCAGGAACGGAGTAAGGTATTTGGAAGTGTACAAGAGGAAACAGAGAAGCGCCAGATAAATCTGATGACTGAGCCGAGCTGTGAGTTACTGAGAATCCTGTCCCACTAGTCTTGAAGCCTGGGCTGTCAACATTGCATAAAGAAGGCTTGATTGCCTGTAAAACAGCAGAACTAAACAATCCAGGATCAACAGGTGAATAATACACAACTAAAAGTCACAGAGAAAGGACTTTCTAGTTGCCTGCTACGTGGATGCACATCTACAGCAGCTGCACATCAAAACTGCTTGCTGCCTGAACAAATTTAACTGCTGGACCTCAATATGTATAATATCTTTTGCAATTTCTTAATACTAAGATAGGGTTAAATATTTATCTGCAACAAACCTGGAAAGATTTTAAGTGCAACTCCTGTAGACACATTACAAACCCAGTGAATACACATGCATACATATTAATGCATATCCACAAATTAACCATAGCTGTAGACAGTTTTCAGGGTGAGTTGGATGTGGAACATTTAAGTAGAAGATGTACTATATATCCATATCATTTTTTTATAGAGAGAGGAAATGCAAACCAAGATTAAACGAAGATGCATTTATTCTTGCCAACATGGGAGAAGAGAGAGCAGCAATTACAGAGCAAGAATAGTAGTAAAATTTTTAGAATTATGCTTACAAGCCACTTTAATACTCCTAAGAACACAAAACCACATTTAACTTCAGCAGTCGCACTGAAACAAGTGAAGCTACTCACAGACTGAAAGAGAAAACCATCTTCTTCTACAGGGATTTCAAACAACTCTGCTTATGATCTCAAATAATTTTTGGTAAACATTTGGTCTTTTTATTAGGATGCAAGCAAATTAAAATGAACATTAGGAATCTAGAACCAAATGCAGAGGAGCCCAATTTTACTATATCATAAACAAAAAAAACCCAAACAAACAAACAAAAAGCAATTCTTGGATATTTTATTTGATTGCAGTTTAAACAATACAGTATAGGGGTTTCATAAGTAGACGCCTAAAATAAAAAAGGGAGAAAACAGAATCCAGATAGTCCATGCATAATCAGGAAAAATAATATTGGATGAAACTCTTATGCTCTCTGTTTAATCAGCCTGCAACTCTACTGTATACACTCTGCTTATTCAGCCTTAGTCTTAGTCTACCATTTTAGACACCTGTAATCCCACAATGGCTGTTTGAAGACATGCATTATTTTTCATATAAGAAACCTGTACTAGAGGCACTGCAAATCATATATGTTAAAGAAACAAAAATGACAATCTGCTCTGAGTTAA